AGCCGAGAAATTGCGGTGGTTCAAATTATGGAACTTTTCCCTATGTTTAAGTAAGGATTCGGGGGACCTGCACTCCTAATTTTTAGCAGGCGTTTGGGTGGATTCTAAAATCAAAATTAGCTTATTGAAGCTAGCTTTTAATTTATTGCCCATGCTCATAAACAAAAAACCGAAATTACATCAAACCTGTTTCCTCTCTTAAGGTGTCCACAGACATGATTGGATGTCAGACACTCCGAATATATTAATAAGTGAAAGATTGACGGAGTTTTCTTCACACAACTATATCCATATATGCACGTTGAAGCTTGCGCAATCATAAATTCAATTTAAAACAGAAAACTTGGGCGATGCACATGAATGTCAAATGACGTCAATCATACTAATAGGACCTAAGTTGTTATCGAAGGTGTTTTGACTTCTTAACGTAAACAAACAACAAGTAAATATGAAACAAAGGCGGAAAAAACGTGAAAACGGAGCAAAATTTCTTTCAATTTGGTTTCTATGAAAAGAAAATAATACTTTACTGACAAAGTGTAGCCATTTGTAATTGATTATTTTACGTTTCCTTTGTCGTACATATTATCGGTATAAAAAGCTCTGCTCTCGCAGAAATGTGGTTTCAAAGGGAAAAATAATTCTCGAAACTGACGACAGCTGTAATAAACGCCAAAGAGAAAATGCCGAGAAGTTGACAGACATCGAGCACTTGGGTGCCTCGTCGTTTACAAACAATATATTTTATTTTCGGATGTATATCTGCGTGAATCGATACCGTTAAAACAAAAAAGCGACACAAATCAATAATAAAACTACCAGCCGGTAAAAGTAATGTTTCTGCGAGCTCCCAGGATTAAATTTTCGACGAACTCCGGGGTCGCGGCTATAAATTTCGGGCGATAATTTCCACTGTCGAATATTTCACAAACTCGAAACGTTTTCCCAATATGAATCATTTTAAGTGTTTATACCGTTAATTGGCGAATTTTACTTTTGAATTATCGCAACTATAAAAACGGAAACGGGCTTTTTCAATGAACTTTTCGTCGAATTAACGCAAATTTTGCACGGTCGCCGTTAATTAAGGTCCAATTTGTAAATAAACTGATAATTAAGACGATTGCCCAGTGATTGCCGCCTGAGGTAGAGATTAGAAACGAATCGCACAAAATTGTTTGCTTGTTGTTGTTCGTTTTCTGTGCAGTTTTAGCCAAGGCGTTTTGTGTGACTTCGGTTCATCCACTGCAAAGATTTGTTAAGATACGGAAAGAAAAAAATTTGTTATAACGGACATTTTGCAGACGTTTGCAGGGCTAGGGCTACAATGTCAAATAAAAAGGATGGCCGTTTTAAACAGCATTTTATAAAATAGTTTGATTTGTTATATTTTAGTACTGTTTTATAAAAGATGTTTCCATTTTTTATCATTTTGAAGATTTATACAAACAACAATATTGTTAATTAAGAAAATTTCTTATTTGGTAAAAGCATCTTCAGTTCTCAGTAATCCTAACAATTAATACAACATCCATATTTTGGATTCGGACTGTACTTTGACTACAGTTTTTAAAAAATCCCCTTATGCCTTTCAATCAAAAAGTTGGTATCTGCCAAAAAAATTGCACTTTTCGCTTATGGATAAGTAGATTGGGTATATAGTTGTCAATTAAAGACATTACAGACGGACTTCAAGAATAATTTAACTAATCGTGGATGTTTAAAAAAGCCAACCAGGACCAATTTAAAATAATCGTTATTAAAATACAAAAAATAAAATTTGACCTAAACAATAAATGGCCACTTTGTATAAAATAAGCTGTTGAGTAACTATGTGCGAGAGATCACAAAATCGAATAAAAGGTGTCTTTAAATGACATTGACAAACGGCCTATTTATCATACAACAAGAATGCCTTATATCTCTGCCACTTTCCGTTCCTGGAAGGTTCTGGACACGGACATTTTTTAAAGCCAACTATGATTGCTATATAAAACAAAAGAAACTTGTGAGTGCTCTCTTGTATTTGACTCAAAAAGAGCCCTTATAATTTTTTTTAGATTCAGAAATTATCGCCATTTTTTAAAGTTGACCTTTATTGAAAAACTACCTGTATCTTAGTTGCTAGTAAACCATGCGGTTTTTAAAAGTGCTTGTAAACACAGATATCTTGATAACATGTTTGCAGTAGTTCGGCTGCTATCGACGAAATGATCAAAAAATCAAGAAAACGGGTGTCCGTTTAGTATACGGACTACCGAACCAACCAACCAATCAATGCTTGGGTAGACTCCATAGTAAGCCGGCACCAAAAAATAAAAAAAATAAATAGGTAGATACTTCATTAATAAAGTCAACAGCTCCCAAATTACGAAGACTTCGTAATTTTATTATTAACATAACTTTTAAAATTTTAAAAGACATGTAAATATATAAATGTATAAATACTTTGCAACATTGCAAAGTATTTATATATGACCTACTAAAAATGTTACCCAATATTGGATAGTCTGGCTGTTATGGCCAGCAATAATGTAGCCGGTCAACCTATTAATAATAATAAATTTATTTATAATATAATTTAGAATATGGACACATACAAGAGTAACTAGAAAGATGCCGGAGATAAGTTGACCATCTTCACCAATATGGAGTCTGCAACTACAGCATTAAAAATATTGTCCCTTACGACGTCTTCCTCTATTTAGTTTGCGATAGTAATAATATACTTTATTCAGGCAATAGAAATGGCAATGACAATGACAAAAAGAGAATTTTGTACGGGAGTTCTTGAAATACGGTTTATTGAGTTTTTTTTTTAATAGCACAATCCTACATATCTTTCCATTTTAGAATGAGCCCTTTCACTAACTGTCTGAAAAAGGACGACTTTCTGATTCATTAAAGCATGGAACTATTAAGATTTTACCAACGGCCTAAGATATTCTTTTTTATTTTGTTAACGGTAAGACATAGATACGGGGAAACCTGAACAAAATCTATTTTAGTTCTTGCGTAGAATCTAAAAATGTTATAATATACAATAGAGGGAGTGCTATTTAAGATAAGCGATAGAGTACCTCTTCTTACGTCGCCCTGTATAATGTAGGGTAAATCTGTTGATCTCTTCAGCAGATACTTCTAATTAATAGGCCATCCACTGTGCGCCGCCCGGTATAGCCAGAAATAAAACCTCAACTTACCACTGTAAAGAACGCTACAAGAAAAGTATGTAAGTACAGAAAATTTTTAAAGAATTCTGGCAGTGTCTCTCTGTTTTATTCTTGTAATTTTTCCCTTTACATCCTTCAGCGTAAGCAGGTTTTTACTTTGCTTAAAAAAAATCGCATTTAGAAGGGAACTTTGAAATATACCAGATCGGTGACGAGTAATAACGACCTCTTTAACTTTTAGATTCATGTTGTTCACGTCTGTCCTAAAAGTTATTTTTTCTGAGACGTATCTGGTTTTAATTATTTTGAAATAAAGGTAGCAGGGTGTCAGATTGTGACTGACGGATCACATTCTCTCAATAAGTTGTGACGAATTACCTGTCAAACAATTCCTATATCTGACATCACTGTAGTTATTGTACGACCAAAAATATAGTGCATACATTGCTTTGACGTTTTAAGTATTTTAGAGTACCTTAACCGCAGACCTTCGCAGGACCGTGGTAAAACCCATCCCAACAGATGTTTATTCTGCATTAAGCAGGTCTTGCCTGGGATGGACCGTAACGAATATTGATAGAAGCTTGAAATTTTTATTTGAAATAAGTAGAAGCGTTTATTTTAACCTCAGGTGATGTGTATCGTTCTTAAGAGTTTGATGTAAATTGCGATATGTTCGTATATATTACGGAGGTATTTGACTGTGATCCTTTCAGTAAGTCCGTATTTATATACCTGATTCTCGAGTTTTGACCCTACGAGGCTGTTTTCGCTGGATAATTCAAATGGTAAGGGTAAGTACCTGAACTCTATTTATCTTACAGGTAAGTTTCAAAATAGTCATTTTTGTCTTGTGTGTCCGTCTCCGATTTGTAAACAATAACAGCCTTTTTTAAGACTATACGTTATATTCGCGGTAGATTAATAGTAGTGTTTTTTAACACTATAAATGTGGAGCCCGTGGAATGAAGCAGATGTTCCACTGTTAGAAGACATGGAAAACAACGCAGAATTTGAAGTCGAAGTGGACATGGTAGTCGAACCTACCTAATGACAATTTAGAAGACTAACTACTTCAGCAATTGAAAAAACGGATTCATTTGTCTTCAGATGCTAAACAAATTGTTTTAAATGTTTACAATTTAATAAGAAATTCAGAAGATTGAAAACATATTTATATCCCGGTTGTTAGTGTAGGTAGATACATTCCTAGGACGTTCCCCCGGAACGGTTACGGTCAAGGGTCTGTTGGAGAGGGTGTTCTATAAAGGGTTGCGGTTTTGGAGTAATAAACAGTAGACAAAGTTAACCACGGGGTCGGTTGTAAAATCACTATAAGTCTGGTCCAAGTAAAGTAAGGTCTTTTTAAGATCTCCAGTTTAGTAACGCGTTTTTCCTTTCAAAACACTCCAATTGCTTTTGCATTGTTTACCGACAACAGCTCATACGGTCTTGTCTTTGTCTTAACTCTCCCCCTCGCGCAAAAACCAACCAGCGACGACGCGCCCTCCCCGGTCTGGGACAATTTCATCCTCCTCGTCGCCACGTGGATTAGTCAGCGCTCTTGTTACAATCGCCACTAATTTTATAACGTAAACTACGGATTTACAAACCGAAGAAGTAGGCTCTTCTTTTTAGCTCGGGGAGCGCGCGAGTGGGTTGCGGCGGGGTAGGGCCGAGTCCTTTCCAGCAGTTGTCTCAAGAACTACATAACAGGTGACGGCGAATAGAACGGGGCCGACCGAACTCGACGTTCGGCAATCTCCGTAATCTAGCGCGTACCGGAGCCTGCACGTGAAACGGACAGCAGTCCCATGCAGAGCTTTCGTCTTGCAGGAACACCGGATTTGCACAAGGCGCGCGCGGGCGTGCGTTGGGGGGTTCGTCGCGGACGTGACAGAAAAAAAATTTGCAACTCGTCGACGGCGACGGTGTCCAACGATACAGCGCAGTTTTTTTCTTTTGATCGAAAAATTTGAAGCGTCGCGACGACGGAGTTGAGACGCTAAGCGTTCGTGCGTGTAACTTGACTTGGTGGTGAAAATACGATGTTTGTTATGGTCTGACGAGTTGGTGTGATAAAGTTTTTTTTTTTTTGGTTTTGACTGGTGGACATTTGGATTATTTCATATATTACGAGCGAAATGGATATTTCCGCTGCAGTTTCCTGTAAGTTAACCGCTGAAACGTCTTCGTTTTCTTAAAGTGGCGCTTTTTCAGTAGGCGGGATCTAGTGTTACTTGATAAACCACGAATACGCCAGAAAGGTTATATGCCGACGTTAAACCAAGGCAACGGATAATTAATATGTAACGGGGTTGGCCTCGGGTGGGTGTAAAACTGGAAACGTCAGCCAGTTTAAAATAAACCTAAAGTTTCCGGGAAATGTCGATAGTCCGGAAAATGTTGTCTTACCTATTTACTTGTACCTTTTAGTCGGTGGAATCATTTCGTTCAATTGGCGGTGCGATTCCTAAAATAATAATTTAACCGCATTTCTTATTACATTATTACAATATTAATTTGATAAATTTCCGGACAACTTTTGCGTTGACTAAAACACCTTTCTCTACTTTGATTAATAATTAAATTAATAAATAATAAAATTAATTAAGCCAGGGGAATTTGATTTTATCAGTGGAAATAAGTCAAGTGGGTATAATGTAACGCAAAGCTCAGCACTTGGCCCACATTTTCATTCGTTGTATAGTTGTTTTGATTCTTTTTCAAACAAATGTTCTGGTTACATTTTTACGTTTGACGTTATTTTGGTATATAGTGGTAATGATTAGCATACTGTAGGATTATAAGTTATAAGTTATAACAAAAAACAAAGATTATGATTTTCAGTAACAACAGCAACTAGTAACAAAGATACAATATCTCGGGTTGCTCATGGATGAGCATTTTAATTAGAATGATCACATTAATCATTTATCGAACAAATTAGCTCCGAAGGTCAGTGATGTAGAGATTACCTTATAGATATTATTCTGTTTCTTACCCCCTTTTCGATACTTGCTACAAATTTGAGGAACCCGTGGTGCGGTACAGTTCAGAGTATGCAAGTGTAATGGGGACAATATTACAATATTAGACCACAAACGGATGTTTATCAGGGCAATAATAGAACTAATAAAGGGCTGTGTAATTTGCCACAGAATATTAGAGCAATTCAGAAATGTCACAAATCTGTACAAACTTAATTGCATTGGAATATTTGTCGATAATATAATGGCTATTCAGAATAAGGTTTATAAATGCCACACAAAGTTTTTATGTTTATGCCGAAATTGTTATTTCATTTTCTGGGGCTTTATTTATTGTATTGCATATTATTTTTCCTTTTCGGTTAGGGTTAGAAAGTATCTTCGATACCACTGGCCAACCATTGTTTTGTAAACTATTGTTATGTACTTTTTTTTATTAAAATATATTTTCAAAAAAATATATAATAATGCAATGGAAAAATTTCTAAAGGGCAATGCAAAAGACAACCAGACGATGACAGAAGAAAGCGCAGCAAAATCCATGGCACGTAAAAGAAATCGTCAATCACTGACTCATTTGATTTAGTAAACCCGCAACATAGCGCAAACTACAGGTTTGCATTTAATTTTTATTTGGTTTTTCGTGGGTTTTCGTTTGTGCACTCGACCGCGACGATTTAAGACAACGGTTGCTTTTTTTTTTTCATTTTATTTTATTAGGTCAGTTTTATATAAATTTGTTCAATGGGCTGTGAGCCCCGCGACTCTCAGAATCTAAAAATCCGATCGATCCAGGAAATATTTTTTTTTTTGTAATTTTATCTCGAGGTTTTCGTTTTCCGGGCAGAGTGTATGTATTACAAACTTCGAGTGTCGAAACGAAATCCGGACCGAAAATTTCTGTTTAATCTTTCTGAGAGGTTTCAGAGCGAGAAAAAAGTTTATCTTAACGGCCGTCAGAAAAGTTGTGCGCTTGTTTAAAGCGAATTTCATTTAAAAGGCGATATTCCCTGATTTAATATTTTGTTCGAAGTTGCCGAACGTCTTAATAATAAACTTTCCGAAGTGCCTCTCTCTCTCTTTCCTCTTTGCTTGCCAGAACTTTGAACGGACGAGTTGCTTATTGCCGTTTTGTTTTTTGCGTTCGTAAGGAGACAGTCGGTAAATAATATATCTACGGAACCCTCTACTCAGAATATTCATCTTTTTATCCATGCCAAACTACGAAATCGTGCGCAATAAGCCTGCCTAAGTATAATAATAAACATAGAAACACAAAAAATTGCTTTAGTAAACTATCTTTCTTGTGTTCCTTGCGCAAGTGCTTTTAGCGAAGCTTTTAGTAATGATGTGGCTGGCATGTGTGCATTTGTAAAAATTTTGTACCGCGCTATACTAATTTATTCCCTAGTTTATTCCACTGCCAGGAAAATATGGAAAAAGGATAATTTTTTGCGATAAATGATGCTTATTATTTGTTTTTTTTAAAGCACTGTCACAAATTATTTGTTTTATTAGTCATTTGCGTTTAATATCTAAGACCGTTGAATAAATAGTGCTAAATAATTTCTACTTTATTTCAGGATAATGATCGTCCTTGCAGTTATATTATTACATTTTTTTATAAAAAGATATTCTCGAGCTTATATTTTGTTTGCACCGAGGTATGCACTTAAGAGCTATTTTTCACATCATCAATGATGCTTGCTCATTTTTCTGCTTTACTAACGTTCCTCTAATTTCTAAAGCAAATAGAATAATAACAAAATAACGTTAGTTTCGTCATTAAATATTTGTATAAAAGTGTCACTTCAGGAAACATAGGAGGCCATGCTAAATGAAATTTAGGACCCAAAAACATTTAATTGGGTCATAAAAATTATTGCTGATAAAATTTCAAAATAATTTGCGATATTTTTATTTGATTTGATTGATTATTTCCTGATATAATTCTCCCACATGAATATTACTTAAAGGTAATTGATTAATTATGTCAACCTAACTGGCTAAAATCTCAAATAACTCCAAAACCAGTAAGTAATATTTTGACTCTAAAATTACCTTTTTTTCATTCTTACACCGATTCAGAAATAATAAAAAACAAAATTCACTGGGATTCCTTTTATATATATTCTGAATATTTATAAACCCAGCAAAAGTTATTTTTTAATATTGTTTTTCTTATTGAGGTGTTTTATTCTTGTTTATTTTATTTATACCTGCCTGTATGAGTCTCACAAATAATTTTTTTCGACATCTGTTTGTTATCTTATCATTCTATAATATATTTATTCGAACGCCCTCATAGTTAAAGAAAATAATTATCCAATAACTTCGTTACGTTTACTTTAAAATTAAATCTCTGTCAGGTGTATTTTTTTTCTTCGCGACTGACAATGTGGGTTAAAAAATGACTCCGGTTAATTCAAGAACAGGATGGGTCGTATCCGGTGGTATTTCGTTTCACCTGTCGCACTTGTAGGGGTTTCCAAGGGTTCGGTCACGCTCGCGAAGAACTTTTTGACCGTTGGTGTCTACGCAGTTTTTTTTACATCCTGTCGCCGCGCTAAAATTACCGAGCCAACAAACGGCATATATTCTTTCTTAGGACGAAGATAAATTGACAGTTAAGTGTTAACGAGGTATATCAGTGTTACCTTTCATTTGCCCTGACTGAATTTTAATTTATTGCCTCGGGCTTTTAGAGCTAAAAGCTCTGTTATAGCGACCGAGGCCGGGTTTTACAGTACTTGTAGGAATTAGCTCAGAACGGGGTCAAATAATGGGGATTTAAATGGAGATGTCGATAACACGCCACGGGTATACATAATCGTTGATCATTTTGCTTGACATTTACACGTACGGCCGTTATAAAGCCCCCGTTTTTAAATATATGTGGACTACGCCCCGGGATAGCGCGTATTTAAATTGTAATTTTAATTTGTAATTTTTGTCATCGTTTTATTGAAGGTCGCACCTCAAATCAGAGAAATAGGCAACTCCGGTATAGTATAGTAGTATTTATAGAGTGTTACAGAATGTTGGGAAAAAAATTTAGTGCAGAGTCTACATCTAAATATATCTCGAAAAATATAAAGCAAAAATTCATATTTCGATGATAACTGCGCTAAAAATGAAATCTCGCTAAAAATTCTCTGTTATAATCGAGACTATAGCAGACATCTGACATATATTAGCCAAGAGTTTGAAAAGGAATTTATGTAAGTCACTTATTCTATAGAAATTATAACGGATTATATATATGATTATAAAGAATTCAAACCACTTGTCTGTTTTTGTTTGTGGCTCGCGATGATCGACATTTAAGTTGTTTCTTAATATATGTCATTAATGAACCCTCTGTTCGCGTGCTCTTAATTTTTTTTACTATGTATATAATCTTAATGTTAGAGATACAATGCCTTATCAATATGGCGTCATGTTTCGTCTCAGCTTTTCTTACCTTATTTAAGCTTTAGTATTAAACCTTTAACCATAAATTGAGCTATAAAGATTTTCTCATTTTGCAACTAACCAAACTTATTTGTTATTAAATACTATCCCTAATATCCAATATTTTTTATTACGCAAATTAGGGAAAAACTTTTCTTTTTTGTTAAACATGTCAATTTCCTTTTCAGTAGAGTGGCTTTTAAGCTACCCTGCACCAGAATTATCACGATGAAGTTAGTGTAACATTTTATACTGGATTTATTTAGGTATTATTGAGTATATAAACATGGATCCGGAAAAGCAAATGATTTCTAAAGTATTTCTGTCCACTAATTGATTGAATTGGCATCGCCGTCGATGAATAATCTGTTGTTTTTCCAAGGAAGGAATTTACTATTGTACTGATCAATAAATTTGTTTTTACGTTAACTTGTCAACCCTTTTTTCGTATTTCTGGATGCAGATTGTGCCCTGAAATTTTCTGTAACACCCTGTACGTTTAAATTATTTTTGTGTATTTTCTTATTTCTTCTTATTTCTTATTGTGTATTATTTCTCTGCGTTCCTTTTTCATCTTAATGTTCAAGTTTTATTTACCATAAAAAATATTCAGGTATGTTCTGTTTGGACTGCATGTGAACTAAACGCCCTACAAAGACTTCTTGAAAACGGTCTTCGGTTCGTGCGACGCAAAACGGCAGTGGCTGGTTCGTAATAAGGCAACCG